AAATAATTATTATCTTTATAAAAAATTATATTATTAAACCAAATATAAATTATTTCGTTATTGTACATAAATTAAATTATAAAAAAATTGAATTAAAAAATTACACAAAAAAATGAGAAATTTCAAATAGTTAATTTGATACTAATATCGATATATATTTGTCAATTTTTTATGATATCTTCAAACATATATTTTATTAAAAAATAAAAACATCATCGCTTTCTCAAAATCACATAAAGCCATATTATAATATCGACTGAGATAAAGAATAAAATGAAATATTAAAATCACGATGTATCTCGCTGCATTGCGCGAGTACGCTTCTAGTTATGTTATAAAGTATTTGACAAAAATTCTTAAAAATTATTTTATATATATAAAAGTACTATTTATTGATGCATATTACTTAAAATTCAATATTACAAGTAATTTTACGTAAGTACAAATTATTAAAGCTTTATTTTTAAATTCGTGTAACTAACTGCAGATAAATATAATCAAATACAAGATAAACATCTATTTTAAATATAAAAAATCTAAAATATAATTAAGATCATCATTCAGTTTCTAACCGAATACTTAGTTATTATCTTTATAAGAAAAATTATATTATTAAACCTAAATTAAATTTCTTTTTTATTAAAGCTAAATTAAATTATAATTAAAAAATTGAATTAAAAAAATTACACCAAAATACAAGAACTTTTAAAAAAGATTAACTTGATATTGATATCGATATATTTTTTTTCCAAAATTTTATGATATTTTCAAATTTATATTTTATTCAAAAATAAAAACATTATCGTTTTCTCAAAATCACATAAAACCATATTATATAGACATGAAAAAGAAATAAAACAAAATGCTAAAATCAAGATGTGTCTCGATGCATCTCACAAGTATCCTTCTAGTATTCTTTTTTAAAGTAAATTACGTTTTTAGTCCTTAAAATTTGTTAGAAATTGAAAATTTCGTATAGTTTTGAAATTACTATGATTTGTAACTTATTTTTATTTTCGTTCTTATGACTAACTACTATTTTTAGGTATGAAGGATTAAAATAAAAATGAATTGTATATTATAAAAATAAAAAAG